TCGCCTTGCTCTTCCAATAATACAAAGTTTTGCGCAAACGGAAACTAGAGAGAGAGCTTGGTAACTAGGCTGTGCGCCATCTCTTTTTAGCCATATAATGCAATTACTGGACTTTCGCTAGCTTCTCTAAGTTTCCAAGTTAACAATAATATGATATCATAATTATGCTACCAATAAAACTACTTCTAAGGAAAATAGAGCCTCTTTAAATATATTTTACAGTTTTGTGTTAGGCCACATTTTGTTTGTTCACAAACTTTTGAAGTTTCATCATCACTCCAAAAGGGTCAGTAAATCGGACTTTCTTCTGCATGCTTAACGAATAAGTTTTCCTCTCTAAAACTGGACAGTAGACATGCTTGCTGATTCATCGTCATCGTGATCACTTGAATTGTAGTCCGCAGATGTCCATTTCTCAAGACTTTGATTTGACTCGTAATACTTTCAGAAAAGCCATTCGGAACTCTTTCGTCCGAATTGTATAGATCAACGGATTGAAAAACGAGCTAGTGAATGACAGAAATGCCGCCCAAAACCACAAGTAGTCAATGCACTGTCTTTCCAAAGGATCTGCGACCGAAATATGCCACAAGGACAGTGCGAGACTCGGGAGCCATAACAAAGCAAAAAGACCGATCACTATGCACAGTGTACAGGCAGCTTTCTTGTTTTTCAAAACTTCTTTGCAGAGGCTGTTATCGGCCGCTATGCGTATGCATTGTGATCGGGCAGCCTTGAAGATGTAAACGTAACAATACGAAATAACAAAAAGAGGAAGAAGTACAGTCAATATTGTGGTGCAAATCCACAGTGATGGAAGATCCTCATCGCTGTGAAATAAAAACCTTTGAGAAGCATACAGAATGGAGAAAATCCATATCGATGCAATGCCATCATCTTCGCGGCAATATGACGCTGGTATTTTGATTTTCCGAGCGACAAGCACGGTGATCAGGAATCGATCGGTATGTTTACCTCATAAACGTGACCGCTAACCAGCCGCTAAGTGAAAACAGCATAGCGCGGGGTGGGGTGGGTGGCGGGCTTATCGTCATAAGATATTCGAATACATGCTTAAAAAGCTTTAGGACTCTCAGTCTAAACAGTGAAGGCATGCTTCGTGGTACAGACAACTTCTATTTTATTCTCATAACTTTTTCCTTTAAATTAGAGCTGGTATTAATTAATAGAGTTATCAATATATTTTTAACCGGGGTACCCATATAACCTTTTTGCCTCAGGCAGTGTCATCTGTGGTATAAAATAAGGAGTATTTTCCACCAGAACCTTTTATTTGTGCCCCATTGCACGGAATGAACACTATACTTAGAATGTTTGTACTAAGTAATTTTTGCTGTTCCCAAGAATGTATGCAAAATGATAGAGATTTGATTCAACACACCGGAATTGAAAATTCGTCGTAAAATCGCATGAACCTTAGAATGGGTGTAGGCAACTTCGACTTCCGGCGAGATGAAGTGGATGGTTCAAAGGACCCCTGAGAATTTTTTTTCAGGACTATAACTGAGATTTGTTTATAACTATGATAATCGTCATCAATAGTGGACGGTGCTTTTTACCCATTGTTGCCATCATTATCGTTTTCACGCCGGAAGAAGTATAAAGCCGGCATGTCGCCTTACCTAACTACACAGAAAATTGTTTCTCTTTTGCTCCCCTTGGATCCTGGAAACTGTTACTATTAAGACGATCAAAAGAAAGCCTTTATAATTATTGAAACTTTTGATTAACAGAATGTAAGAAAAAATCGGTGGAGAGAGAGTTATTCGCGTATCTTATAACCAGAACGATAGTTTTCAATAAAACAAATACCCCTTAATTCAATTTACCTTAGTTGTCTCGTGTTTAAAAGTGGCGTTTCTGGGGACCGTAGATTCTTCTCTGATTCTTCTTGTCTCAGCCAAGACTCACTATCATCAACTTTTTTCTTGTGCCTCTTACGGCATGGGACACAGAGAGCTGAGGTAAGCGATTGCAAATTTCTCACTTAAAGTAAAGCCCAGTAGCATCCATCAGGAATTGAAAACCGTGATGCACTGTTTACTTTTATTATTCTTAATCAAATTAGGGGTGTTTTAGTCTGCAAATTTAATCATACTGGTTAATGAGAATCATACAAACTGATCGCATGAGGAAAACTGACCGCAAATAATTGTGAACCGTACGCATGAATAAGTGTGTTGCGTTGTCAGGTGATTTAACCTTCTACAAAAACATTATTGATTATCAACCAAGCAACATTGTACATATTTCCATCTGCAATTAAAAGCACTTACACATAGATCTATGTTTTTTCAACGTGATGTGCACATAAGTACCCCTTCATCTAAGAAAAGAATTTCTACTCTTTTCGAGCAGATATGTCACGTGACAAAAATATATAACAGAAAATGTTACTGAAGATTACCAGCTTCAACTGGAATAATAACTCCAAACAGCTTTTGAATGTCCTGAGACATATGCAAGGTAATTACATCTCTGCCTTGGATACGCTTCCTAACACCATCATGATCAGGATACTGACATGTTACCTTTGCACTTCTCCAAAACTTCCCCAAAGCAGTTTTATAAAATATTTAAAATAGTACGCGCGCTCTGATTGGCCATAAAACCATTTTACATGAGCGTATGTAAACACGGTTTTCGTTCCTCTTTCATTAGTTATTTTATAAAAGAAATGTGAAATGGTCTCCGTGTTTACATAGCCTGATGTAAACACTCGATAAGCGTGTTCTCGTGTTCTCCCAACCTCCCAAGTGTTTACATCAGGCTATGTGAACACGGAAAGCATTTTACATTTCTTCAATGTTATTTAATTTGTCCTTCACATTCGAGTCGAAGCTTGGGTGGCACAGGTTATTTCTTACGGTGGAATCGACGAGGGGAATTCAAACACTAGTTGTAGTGTTTGAATTGTTGGAAGAAATGGTCGCATGGGGATGGTAAGTTTAACGAACAACTTCAAATTTTGCCGCTTGAATTGAAAGTGAAGTTCATTTGAATTGCTTTCGCATGTATTTTTTGACGGTTTTAGATCTACTTGCTTGATTTATATCGGTTACGCTTCATGTTGACAAGTCCCTCAAAATGGCGGCCAAACTTGGAGATTGCCAAAAATTAGGTAAGTTCACGGAGTTATAAAGTTCTCGTAAAGGTCGGGCCGCAAAGTTTTTTTCTGTAGTTATCTTTTCTGTGACAACTACTTCCTAGCTATGTTAGTTGGATCAGTTAAGAACGCCTCACTTTTTCAAAAATTTACCTTGAATCTGATAGGTTTTGGCGCGTGTGATAAGATGTCATTCAAGTCTTCCTGTTTCCTTGATTGAAACGTGATGTTTACAAAAGTCGCCTCGATAGATAAGATAAAGTCAATATACATGGCTGTGGTAGTTGTTTTTTTCTGAGTTCCGCAGTTTTTTGTAAATTGTCCTCCAAAGTTGTATGAAACGTGATGTTTACAAAAGTCGCGTCGATAGATAAGATAAAGTCAATATACATGGCCGTGGTAGTTGTTTTTTTCTGAGTTCCGTAGTTTTTTGTTAATTGTCCTCCAAAGTTGTATGAAACGTGATGTTTACAAAAGTCGCCTCGATAGATAAGATAAAGTCAATATACATGGCCGTGGTAGTTGTTTTTTTCTGAGTTCCGTAGTTTTTTGTAAATTGTTCTCCAAAGTTGTATGAAACGTGATGTTTACAAAAGTCGCCTCGATAGATAAGATATATATGTTATTTGCCGGCTGGGAGGTCCGTATGGTGAAAAACTGTGACCGAGGTCTTGAAAATACTGCCCGAGGCCGTAGGCCGAGGGCAGCATTTTCAAGACCTCGGTCACAGTTTTTCACCATACGGACCGACCCTTAGCCGGTAAATAACATATTTATTGTTTTTAAACTTGACGAAATTCTTTCCGAAAGAACCCGAATGATTTATGGCCGTAAATACGGCAAGATCTTCCATAAACTGAACAATTTTTGAGTGGGTAAATGGTAGTTAAAATAGAGGTGATGCAAATTTAAGAGAGATGCCTCAGCGAAACATTTTCATTTCCGTAACGATAAAGGTGATTTAAAAGGCTTCCAAACAAACTTTGAAACATTATTTTTACAAGTATCTGTCACAATCTGACACCTGTCAATTAGAGAGCGCGCAAGAAAAAAAAAATCGTAGGAACATTTGAAAACCAACAGAACTAGTTTGGCAAGGACTGTCACGACAATGTTTTCTTCAAAATCAGTTAATGATCTAACGGAAAGTATTATTCACCCTCATCGACGATTCATTTATGTACGAAGATTTACCTCTGTTCATTAAGTAAACGGCGAGGAAATTAATTGTGAGTAAATTCAATCTTTTTATTTTGAAGTTGTGAGAGTTTGCTCGTTTGTTTGCTGTAATGGCGTGTTTAACTCTGATCTTTCCTTCACAAAAACTAAATTCGAACGGCACACTCCAACGAGACACAAGGGAATCTAATGCGGCCTTTTCTCAAAAAATTCCTTCAATTTCTGTTGTGCAATTTAAGGTACAAATGTCCAAATTGAACGGAATTGGAAAGACTCACCAGGAGCGTATATTTGTTGTAGAACTTAAATTAAAACTTCGCTCGCTCTTTCACTATGAACAAATTGCTCGAGAAAATTCAGATATTAAATGAATGAAAGTTCCATCGTTCAGTTTAACTGTAACCAAATACCTCACGTTCCAACTTTCTGGGTACTTTTTGTGAACGATTAAAATTAATTGCAGAAGGTTTTTAGGCCGCTTGTCAACCAACGTAATGACACTATTGTTTATACGTGCCTCAAGCAAATTCGACCGAACCGCTCTTACAGAGACACTCTCTTAATACTAAAACGCCATATTCGGCTTGGAGATTGCCGAGGTTGAAGACAAAAGCTTGTCCACAAGAAAAAAGAATTCACTTCTTCTGTCAACCTTCTAGCCCTGTTGCTTCATTTTATCATTAAGTTTGTTGAGATGGATTGGAAAGATGAAGAAGACTTAAATTTCACCGAATTTGACGATGGAAGAACAATAAGTGGCCGTGAAGAGCTCGTCGACCAAAATAGAAACCAATATGGTCTACATTTTGTGCTTGATTTGGTTTTAGTGCTGTGTGGAGTTTTGGAAAACGTTTTTGTCTGTTGGATATTGATTCGCAAGAAGAGGAAATGTTTCAAAAGCTTTTCCAACTTTCATTTATTGAATCTGGCCATTACAGATATTCTCTTTCGAGCCGTTTCTGTTCCGGAATTGCTGCCAGGAGAAATTATTGGCGGGAGCGACTTCATATGTAAATTGATCGACTTCAGTAGACACATTACTTTGGCGGTAACATTTGCTATTCTGGCCGGAATATCATTTGATCGATACATTCACATTGTTCATCCGTTTAGGGCCAGGACAATTACATGGAAACACAGTAGAAATGTGATGGTACTCTCGTGGGTTTGCGGAGGGCTTTTGTCTGCGCCATTTTTGAGCAGCACAGTGTGGACTGTTGAAGTAAACGAGGAAACTATGGACAAATTTGGGAACTGCGTTGACAAACATGGCCTATCGTTTCAGATTTCCTTAGCTGTATTCCTTTTTGGTGCGTTCATCGTTCCCTTGGTTTTCATGGGATTTGTTTACAGTAGAATTGTGATTGTCCTATGGCGTCGGGATCGTTCCAAGATATCTAACAAAAACATGATCAAGACCAAACTTCGAGTCGTCAAAATGATGGTGTTGATTGTCCTTACATATTTCATTACATGGGGTCCATATCTTATTGTTAGAACTGTGATAGTTTTTTTTTCTCTCGAGGGAAGAAATTCTGAGGAAGTTGAGGGAGAAGGCTCGACAGAATTACAGTCAGATAACGAGGAACTATATGAGTCATTACAATTATTTGAGGGCATATCTGACCCGTTGACATTGATGAGTTCCATTTTAAACCCCCTGATATTTAGCTTTTACAACGCGAGCTTTAAAGAGGAAGTATACAACATTTTTCGTGGAATGAAAGGCGCGAAAGTTTTTGGGAAACGTAAACACATCGTTGTGCCTTTAGCCGAGCAAACTCGTGATACCACGACGTAGGCCGCGCAGTTAGGCTGCGAACTCTGTTACACTCGCCTCAGAAATTTATTTAAAAATAAATATTCCAAAAACGAACCGAGTCTCGACGTCGAGCAAATCGTTTTGCGGTTAAGGTGCAGAAACTGTACTCTACGAAAATTGATGATTTATCAAAGAAACTCTGGCTCGTTTACAGGTAATCAACACTTCGTGTGTGGCAGTGCAAATCCAAGAAACATTTCCGAATAGCCCCATATTTTTGTAAAACAAAGCCGTAGTCCTAAGGCAATCTATTGTTTTCGCCATTGTTTCCTTTGTCCAGGAAATTAGAATCTAATGAGGTATGGGACTGTGCGGAAATCTTGCTCAAATCCGTCGTTTGAATTTGGTCGACGACTAAATTTTGGCGTTCCAATCCTTAGACGAACAAGAAGTGATTTTGAAAAGCATTTCACTATAAAAATTGCGTTAAAATATTTCTTAAAATCATTTCAAGATTAAAAAAAATTGCTAAAAAAAAGCGGCGACGTTTCGACGTTGGCTGAACGTCATTATCAAGTCAAAATAAGTAGTGATTTTTGGTCTATAAATACTAAAAAAAACAACAATAGCTGATAAAAATTGTAACGTGAGAAAATATCAAACAAAGAGTTTCGCACGTATGGAGTCCGTCTGAATATTTAAATTGGGCTTAAGTTTCTTGATGAAGAGCATTTCAAATACTAAGCAATCAAATTTGCTCTGGCACTTTCTTAAAACCGTAAATTGGCTTTTCTCTCAAAAGGTTGTTGTTACAATCCTTAGACAAATTTAAAAAAAAAAACAGTCATAATTTGGCCACCTGTTGTTCACTTTGAGAAATGTAGTTTAAATGCAAATGTGAACAATTAATGTTTCTTACTTCTTCAATGATAAAACCTACTCTACATATCAATACATAAATGATAACAATGAGGGATATAAGCAGATTAAGAGAGATGGTGAGGTTTGAGCTCAGTAAAGAAATAAAGAAAGGTGTTTCTCGTCTTGTCACGAACGTGAGACAAAGAAAATAATTCTGAGTTAGAATTCTACTCAAAATTTTTTTCACGCTCGTGACAAGACGAATTTACATCTTTCTTTATTTCTTTACCGAGCTCAAAACTTACCATGTCTCTTATTCTATTTATAAACATGATGCTGAACATGATGACATACATGATGCTGATGCTATTGACATTGTTGATCTTAGCAGTATGCAGGACGCTTATCGTATGAACTTCGTAATATACCTCGCTCACCGTAGAGTCTCTGTAGCTCAGTGGTAGAGCATTTAGAGCATCAGAGGTCTGAGGTTTGATTCCTCAGGGGGATTCAGATTTTTTTTTCTTTGTACCACGCTCGTGACAAGACGAAAAACATCTTTCTCTATGAGGGATATGTTATCTTTCAGACAAATTTTGACTTTCGGTGGCTATTGTAGAGAAAAGTATATTCCAAAAGACAGTTGAGTTCTGTGTTTAAAATATGTGAGACAAGAAGGACTTCAGTTAATGACCTCTACCCATACGCTTCATGAAATAGGCCAAAGTTAAAAAAGAGAGAATTCACGTTTATGAAAAAAAATGATTTTAAAATGTTTACAATTTCTGATTATTTATTTTCGGATCCTGCTCTTCAAACTGACGCACAAAATGTCATCATACTGAAAGCGGTAATATTTTTGCGTTAGTTTACCTGCTGATTATCAGAGAAATGAGATGATTTAGGGCTTGGAAAAGAAGCATCAGGATAAATACTCGTAATTTTTGCAAAATAATGTAAATTATATTTGTCGTACGATTATTGGGGTATTTACCCGTGAGGATGCGGAAAACTTACGGAGCGAAAATGACTGCTCTAATGGAATACACCTGTCACGTACATTTTTTTTTAATTCAAGGAAGAGATTATCCAATCGACGAGATTAATCATCTTATCTCTGTTTACAAAAAGCACTTTAGGTATCTTTTGAAAAAGAAGAAGTTCAGTCTTGAAAGTTTGTGATATTAAAAGAGTATTACAAAAGCAGAGTGAGAATATTTGATGAAATGCAGCACTCGTTTTATTTCCATTTGTGTCGAGTTCACATCACCTGCAGTGTCCCGCAGTGATTTACACCTGCGTCATTTGACAAAACTATTACAAGTTGTTCGTCGCGTGTTTACGCAAAAAAAAAATCACCATAAACTATAATCTATATGTCGTGACGTTTCCTTTTGTACTCAGTTAGCAAACGAAAGTTAATATGCATGTAGCAGGTTCTATAATTGTGCACAGCGCAATACCAGCGAAATGCGGTTAACATTATCTATCTCGGCTTTTAAATTAGTAAATTGTCTTCTAACTGTTACGTGTGGTGGGTATAAAACACGAGGTTCTGAAAAGTAAGACGCACAAGAGTAGAGGCAAGAATACAACGAAATAAAGATCAAAGAAAGAAATGGGGCGGAATTTCTCAGAGGGCAAAATTTCAGCAACGAAAATGCACCTTTTTGTCAGAGAACGATGAGAACTTTGGTGCCCTCTTTGTGATACGTTGGATTTTAGTGATTTGTGGATTAGTCGAGAATGCTATAGTCTGCTGTATTTTGATCCGTAAGAGGAAATGTTTCAAGAGCTTTTCGAGTTTTCACTTACTGAATTTAGCAATTACAGATATTCTCTTTCGAGCTGTTTCCATCCCGGATTTGTTACCGGTGGAACTCGTGGACAACAATTAGAAGTTCTCGGAGTTAGCACGTAATCATAACATCATGTATGATATCAATTTCCGCTTTTTCCGCTTTTGTATAAATACTATTTTACCGAGTAAACTTGTCGACTTCTTCGTGAAATACTCAACTTAAATCACTTTTAGAAAATACTTTATTAATGTCAAGTAAGTGATAATTCTAATCTTAGATGCGGTCGTCTAAGCAATCATACAGTCATTTGTTATTGTTTATTTTACCCAGAGCTGACAGAAATTGTCATTATACTTGCATAATTAAAATGCATCGAATATATTGGACAAGACTGTTTTGTAGTTAGGTAATTCCCGTTCTTACGTGATTTTTACATAGCTACTTTTCATTAAAGAACTGCTTCTTTTCATTAGTTGTGAATCCAATCCATCCTAGTGACCTCCCCGTTTTGGCTCGGTCTAACCTGGACCCCATTGTAGACCATGACGCAATGTTGACGTCAAGTAGAGAGATTCGCCTTGCTCTTCCAATAATACAAAGTTTTGCGCAAACGGAAACTAGAGAGAGAGCTTGGTAACTAGGCTGTGCGCCATCTCTTTTTAGCCATATAATGCAATTACTGGACTTTCGCTAGCTTCTCTAAGTTTCCAAGTTAACAATAATATGATATCATAATTATGCTACCAATAAAACTACTTCTAAGGAAAATAGAGCCTCTTTAAATATATTTTACAGTTTTGTGTTAGGCCACATTTTGTTTGTTCACAAACTTTTGAAGTTTCATCATCACTCCAAAAGGGTCAGTAAATCGGACTTTCTTCTGCATGCTTAACGAATAAGTTTTCCTCTCTAAAACTGGACAGTAGACATGCTTGCTGATTCATCGTCATCGTGATCACTTGAATTGTAGTCCGCAGATGTCCATTTCTCAAGACTTTGATTTGACTCGTAATACTTTCAGAAAAGCCATTCGGAACTCTTTCGTCCGAATTGTATAGATCAACGGATTGAAAAACGAGCTAGTGAATGACAGAAATGCCGCCCAAAACCACAAGTAGTCAATGCACTGTCTTTCCAAAGGATCTGCGACCGAAATATGCCACAAGGACAGTGCGAGACTCGGGAGCCATAACAAAGCAAAAAGACCGATCACTATGCACAGCGTACAGGCAGCTTTCTTGTTTTTCAAAACTTCTTTGCAGAGGCTGTTATCGGCCGCTATGCGTATGCATTGTGATCGGGCAGCCTTGAAGATGTAAACGTAACAATACGAAATGACAAAAAGAGGAAGAAGTACAGTCAATGTTGTGGTGCAAATCCACAGTGATGGAAGATCCTCATCGCTGTGAAATAAAAACCTTTGAGAAGCATACAGAATGGAGAAAATCCATATCGATGCAATGCCATCATCTTCGCGGCAATATGACGCTGGTATTTTGATTTTCCGAGCGACAAGCACGGTGATCAGGAATCGATCGGTATGTTTACCTCATAAACGTGACCGCTAACCAGCCGCTAAGTGAAAACAGCATAGCGCGGGGTGGGGTGGGTGGCGGGCTTATCGTCATAAGATATTCGAATACATGCTTAAAAAGCTTTAGGACTCTCAGTCTAAACAGTGAAGGCATGCTTCGTGGTACAGACAACTTCTATTTTATTCTCATAACTTTTTCCTTTAAATTAGAGCTGGTATTAATTAATAGAGTTATCAATATATTTTTAACCGGGGTACCCATATAACCTTTTTGCCTCAGGCAGTGTCATCTGTGGTATAAAATAAGGTGTATTTTCCACCAGAACCTTTTATTTGTGCCCCATTGCACGGAATGAACACTATACTTAGAATGTTTGTACTAAGTAATTTTTGCTGTTCCCAAGAATGTATGCAAAATGATAGAGATTTGATTCAACACACCGGAATTGAAAATTCGTCGTAAAATCGCATGAACCTTAGAATGGGTGTAGGCAACTTCGACTTCCGGCGAGATGAAGTGGATGGTTCAAAGGACCCCCTGAGAATTTTTTTCAGGACTATAACTGAGATTTGTTTATAACTATGATAATCGTCATCAATAGTGGACGGTGCTTTTTACCCATTGTTGCCATCATTATCGTTTTCACGCCGGAAGAAGTATAAAGCCGGCATGTCGCCTTACCTAACTACACAGAAAATTGTTCTCTCTTTTGCTCCCCTTGGATCCTGGAAACTGTTACTATTAAGACGATCAAAAGAAAGCCTTTATAATTATTGAAACTTTTGATTAACAGAATGTAAGAAAAAATCGGTGGAGAGAGAGTTATTCGCGTATCTTATAACCAGAACGATAGTTTTCAATAAAACAAATACCCCTTAATTCAATTTACCTTAGTTGTCTCGTGTTTAAAAGTGGCGTTTCTGGGGACCGTAGATTCTTCTCTGATTCTTCTTGTCTCAGCCAAGACTCACTATCATCAACTTTTTTCTTGTGCCTCTTACGGCATGGGACACAGAGAGCTGAGGTAAGCGATTGCAAATTTCTCACTTAAAGTAAAGCCCAGTAGCATCCATCAGGAATTGAAAACCGTGATGCACTGTTTACTTTTATTATTCTTAATCAAATTAGGGGTGTTTTAGTCTGCAAATTTAATCATACTGGTTAATGAGAATCATACAAACTGATCGCATGAGGAAAACTGACCGCAAATAATTGTGAACCGTACGCATGAATAAGTGTGTTGCGTTGTCAGGTGATTTAACCTTCTACAAAAACATTATTGATTATCAACCAAGCAACATTGTACATATTTCCATCTGCAATTAAAAGCACTTACACATAGATCTATGTTTTTTCAACGTGATGTGCACTTAAGTACCCTTCATCTAATAAAGAATTTCTACTCTTTTCGAGCAGATATGTCACGTGACAAAAATATATAACAGAAAATGTTACTGAAGATTACCAGCTTCAACTGGAATAATAACTCCAAACAGCTTTTGAATGTCCTGAGACATATGCAAGGTAATTACATCTCTGCCTTGGATACGCTTCCTAACACCATCATGATCAGGATACTGACATGTTACCTTTGCACTTCTCCAAAACTTCCCCAAAGCAGTTTTATAAAATATTTAAAATAGTACGCGCGCTCTGATTGGCCATAAAACCATTTTACATGAGCGTATGTAAACACGGTTTTCGTTCCTCTTTCATTAGTTATTTTATAAAAGAAATGTGAAATGGTCTCCGTGTTTACATAGCCTGATGTAAACACTCGATAAGCGTGTTCTCGTGTTCTCCCAACCTCCCAAGTGTTTACATCAGGCTATGTGAACACGGAAAGCATTTTACATTTCTTCAATGTTATTTAATTTGTCCTTCACATTCGAGTCGAAGCTTGGGCGGCACAGGTTATTTCTTACGGTGGAAATCGACGGGGAATTCAAACACTAGTTGTAGTGTTTGAATTGTTGGAAGAAATGGTCGCATGGGGATGGTAAGTTTAACGAACAACTTCAAATTTTGCCGCTTGAATTGAAAGTGAAGTTCATTTGAATTGCTTTCGCATGTATTTTTTGACGGTTTTAGATCTACTTGCTTGATTTATATCGGTTACGCTTCATGTTGACAAGTCCCTCAAAATGGCGGCCAAACTTGGAGATTGCCAAAAATTAGGTAAGTTCACGGAGTTATAAAGTTCTCGTAAAGGTCGGGCCGCAAAGTTTTTTTCTGTAGTTATCTTTTCTGTGACAACTACTTCCTAGCTATGTTAGTTGGATCAGTTAAGAACGCCTCACTTTTTCAAAAATTTACCTTGAATCTGATAGGTTTTGGCGTGTGTGATTTAGGCGATCCGATAAGATGTCATTCAAGTCTTCCTGTTTCCTTGATTGAAACGTGATGTTTACAAAAGTCGCCTCGATAGATAAGATAAAGTCAATATACATGGCTGTGGTAGTTGTTTTTTTCTGAGTTCCGCAGTTTTTTGTAAATTGTCCTCCAAAGTTGTATGAAACGTGATGTTTACAAAAGTCGCCTCGATAGATAAGATAAAGTCAATATACATGGCCGTGGTAGTTGTTTTTTTCTGAGTTCCGTAGTTTTTTGTAAATTGTTCTCCAAAGTTGTATGAAACGTGATGTTTACAAAAGTCGCCTCGATAGATAAGATATATATGTTATTTGCCGGCTGGGAGGTCCGTATGGTGAAAAACTGTGACCGAGGTCTTGAAAATACTGAGGGCAGCATTTTCAAGACCTCGGTCACAGTTTTTCACCATACGGACCGACCCTTAGCCGGTAAATAACATATTTATTGTTTTTAAACTTGACGAAATTCTTTCCGAAAGAACCCGAATGATTTATGGCCGTAAATACGGCAAGATCTTCCATAAACTGAACAATTTTTGAGTGGGTTAATGGTAGTTAAAATAGAGGTGATGCAAATTTAAGAGAGATGCCTCAGCGAAACATTTTCATTTCCGTAACGATAAAGGTGATTTAAAAGGCTTCCAAACAAACTTTGAAACATTATTTTTACAAGTATCTGTCACAATCTGACACCTGTCAATTAGAGAGCGCGCAAGAAAAAAAAAATCGTAGGAACATTTGAAAACCAACAGAACTAGTTTGGCAAGGACTGTCACGACAATGTTTTCTTCAAAATCAGTTAATGATCTAACGGAAAGTATTATTCACCCTCATCGACGATTCATTTATGTACGAAGATTTACCTCTGTTCATTAAGTAAACGGCGAGGAAATTAATTGTGAGTAAATTCAATCTTTTTATTTTGAAGTTGTGAGAGTTTGCTCGTTTGTTTGCTGTAATGGCGTGTTTAACTCTGATCTTTCCTTCACAAAAACTAAATTCGAACGGCACACTCCAACGAGACACAAGGGAATCTAATGCGGCCTTTTCTCAAAAAATTCCTTCAATTTCTGTTGTGCAATTTAAGGTACAAATGTCCAAATTGAACGGAATTGGAAAGACTCACCAGGAGCGTATATTTGTTGTAGAACTTAAATTAAAACTTCGCTCGCTCTTTCACTATGAACAAATTGCTCGAGAAAATTCAGATATTAAATGAATGAAAGTTCCATCGTTCAGTTTAACTGTAACCAAATACCTCACGTTCCAACTTTCTGGGTACTTTTTGTGAACGATTAAAATTAATTGCAGAAGGTTTTTAGGCCGCTTGTCAACCAACGTAATGACACTATTGTTTCTTGACGTGCCTCAAGCAAATTCGACCGAACCGCTCTTACAGAGACACTCTCTTAATACTAAAACGCCATATTCGGCTTGGAGATTGCCGAGGTTGAAGACAAAAGCTTGTCCACAAGAAAAAAGAATTCACTTCTTCTGTCAACCTTCTAGCCCTGTTGCTTCATTTTATCATTAAGTTTGTTGAGATGGATTGGAAAGATGAAGAAGACTTAAATTTCACCGAATTTGACGATGGAAGAACAATAAGTGGCCGTGAAGAGCTCGTCGACCAAAATAGAAACCAATATGGTCTACATTTTGTGCTTGATTTGGTTTTAGTGCTGTGTGGAGTTTTGGAAAACGTTTTTGTCTGTTGGATATTGATTCGCAAGAAGAGGAAATGTTTCAAAAGCTTTTCCAACTTTCATTTATTGAATCTGGCCATTACAGATATTCTCTTTCGAGCCGTTTCTGTTCCGGAATTGCTGCCAGGAGAAATTATTGGCGGGAGCGACTTCATATGTAAATTGATCGACTTCAGTAGACACATTACTTTGGCGGTAACATTTGCTATTCTGGCCGGAATATCATTTGATCGATACATTCACATTGTTCATCCGTTTAGGGCCAGGACAATTACATGGAAACACAGTAGAAATGTGATGGTACTCTCGTGGGTTTGCGGAGGGCTTTTGTCTGCGCCATTTTTGAGCAGCACAGTGTGGACTGTTGAAGTAAACGAGGAAACTATGGACAAATTTGGGAACTGCGTTGACAAACATGGCCTATCGTTTCAGATTTCCTTAGCTGTATTCCTTTTTGGTGCGTTCATCGTTCCCTTGGTTTTCATGGGATTTGTTTACAGTAGAATTGTGATTGTCCTATGGCGTCGGGATCGTTCCAAGATATCTAACAAAAACATGATCAAGACCAAACTTCGAGTCGTCAAAATGATGGTGTTGATTGTCCTTACATATTTCATTACATGGGGTCCATATCTTATTGTTAGAACTGTGATAGTTTTTTCTCTCGAGGGAAGAAATTCTGAGGAAGTTGAGGGAGAAGGCTCGACAGAATTACAGTCAGATAACGAGGAACTATATGAGTCATTACAATTATTTGAGGGCATATCTGACCCGTTGACATTGATGAGTTCCATTTTAAACCCCCTGATATTTAGCTTTTACAACGCGAGCTTTAAAGAGGAAGTATACAAC